AGGCGTAATACAACGAAAGAGGAGGGGAGTATAAACTACCTAAACCACATGAATACACATTACGCGCCACAAAGGTAGAATACTCGAAATGGGCGGATCATAGCAAAACATATTGAAATGGACCGAATTATTACTAAAAACTACTAGAAAAGACTATCCTAAGAGCGACATAAATGTCACTCATCAAATTCCCCCAAGCTAAACCTTTGCTCGTCCTCGAGCAAAGCTAAAGGCAAAGAAGATTGAGAAACGATTATCCAAACACAAGCAAAATAGAAAAAAAAAAATCAACTACAAACAAGCATAGATGGATGGCAATCTTTCTAAGCACTAAGAGTAAGCACGTTTTTGGATGCCAATGGTTGATTGAAAGATAAGTTATGCTAAGCATAGAGAACTCTAACATGCTCCACTCCACCCGCATTCCATACATTCTTACCGCGTTCCCTCATCTGGATTCAAATCCACCCTTCAAGGTAGCATCTCATGACTCCACGAAGGAGCCGGAACAAATGAAACAAGGGTGACCCGACATCTTACCAAGTCATGCTCTCTCCATATGCTTGAAATCTAGCTCCCTCCACCGACTAGTGACTCAACCAATCCAAGTCGAAAGGACTTTAAAAGGGTTGTAATGTAGGCTAGTAGGTAAAGGTGAGAAAAAAAAAACATGAAAATTTGGTGGTAAATCCTAATTGTGAAGCAAAGAATGGCGCCAATTCTCGAAAACAACGTAGAATATCACCAATTTCCAAACAAAAATACGTCTCCCCCAAGCTTTTTCAACTCATCTCACAAAACTATAAATGAAATGCGTAGAATCTCTCCCCCAAGCTTGAATTGAGCATTGTCCTCAATGCGCAAATTAGGGAGGACACTACATCAAAATCTGTTTGCAAATTGGCAAATATTTTTTTTTTTTTTTTTTTTTTTTTTTTTTTTAGCTCAAGCTTTTGTCAACCTTTATTAATTTGTCCGTGCCTTTTATAACTATGGACGGCTTTTTCTTTGGAATTCACATTTGCTTTTATTAAACACCAAAAATATCGAAAACAACCTTACTTTCCATTACCAAACCATCATCGTCCAACTTATCAAACCAAAATCACAACAAACTTTCTTGGCTCAAACTTCACAATTCTACGGAGGAAAAATGAACTAGAAGGGTTATAGGGTTTGTAATATGCTACAAACAAGGAGGTGTAGGCTCAACATGGCTTAGCAAGGGGATATGCAAATGAAATTACAAGGAAGCAACAAAAGAAAAGCTAAACCCAGAAAAGCAAAATAGTCACCGAAGAAAATGCCTTTGTCCTCCCTAGATATAGTTCGGGTCGCGATCTCGGTAGCTAGACAACAAGTTCTCGATCTAAGCATGCCTTGGTAAGGATCCTATGCCGCTCATACAATAAGTGTTGGAGGCTTGAACATTAAAACTGACATCGGGTTACAAAAACTACCTTTAGGGCTTCAAATCCCCCAATGGGGCAACACCTTCTTACCACAACAAGTGAATTTGGGTTCGGTGGGCCTTACGAGTTCTAGCACAACTACCTTAGCATAGACATATTTTAGAGTCAACCAATGGCAATCCAAGAACGCGGAAACTCTTAATCCTTAGGAATAAGGACATTCAAGAACGCAAGTCTATTAAGTTAATCTACCCTTGACAAAATTTCTAGATCTCCTACAAAATCAACATTACCTCAAAAATCATCGAACCATATATACATCCTGCACTGGTCAATCGCCATGTCGGCGAACACCAGTAATCATCATCATCATCATCGACAGGAAAAACGGGGGGCGGACTCACCGGTATCCATCAACCGAGAGAAGCGTCCCAAAACAGCATCATCATCAAAACCACATCGAAAACTCATCAACAATATTAGTGAACAGGGGCAAAATTAACCAAAGAAAACAGTCATGTAACTTAGCAGAATCAGCAGCATGAAGGTACAGGGAAAACAATGAAAGAACGGCAGGCGAGCAAGTAAGAATCCCAGCCAAGTCACTCCCTACCAAGAGTATATCTCCTACTCATCAAAATGAGCGTACAAAAGCAGGGGAGAGAGATGTACTCAAGGACGCAGCCTACTGGCCACTAGAGCTGGGCTCACTAGGTGAGCCAAACCGACGTGGCGGCTCGTCATAAGTGAAGCCACTAGGGGGGCGAAAAGGCCCCAACCACCGTCAAAGCCCGGCGGCCAACCGTAGTGACCTCTGTAAAGATCCTCTTGCCAACTAGGCAAAGGATCAGAGGGAGCGTCCTCGGACTGGGAATACAGAGGGGCGGGGTGATCAGGATGCACATAGGGGTAAGCAGGGTCCCCTCTAAAGTCACACCGCCGGGCACACGATAATCGTACTGCCCGTCCTCTGGGGAAGCTGCGGAGCTCCCTACTAGGCTCGGAAGGACCTTGCCAGTAGGGGTAAGTGGGGAGATTGTCCCCCCCCCCCAAGAAGGAACAGGGCCGTGCTGAGGCGGCCAATTGGGGTAGTTCACGGGGGAGCAATCTCTCCTCGATCCACAGCTGAGTCATAGAGGGCCTGCTGCTGCAGATGGTGGCCTTGCTGTGACTCATAAATTGCTTGCAACTGACTAGCTATATCAGATAGCTGAAATGTACCTGTACCTGCGGGTTGCTGGGTAACCGGCTGCTGCTGCTGCTCCTCCTGAACCTCCTCCTCATTACCTATCCCTACCTCATCGTCCCCATCAACATCGGGCACTCGCCCGCTATCTCTCAAAACTCTCCACACATTAGAGGACTGACGCGTGAGGGAGGTGAAGTGAGGCTTAGGGAGGAAACAATGGTGGGCTCCTCTAACTAGCCACCGAAAAGCATTGGGGTTTGCCGTGGGGGTAATAAAATCAGAGCGGCGAAGCTGGTCCAAGTCAAGGTAAATATCCCCACTACTACTACGGCCGTGCATAGAGGTAGAAGGTCAGTGTAACCTAATTTGGTGGCCAACCTAGTGACCATCGCCCCGCAATGTATCTCCCCTGGCTTTTTCCCTTTTGCTATGGCTTGGCAAGTTTGCATGAAGAGGAAACCCAAATTCAACCTCCGTGCATGCTCTTCCTTTGTGGCTATCCATAGGCAAAGGACCTCTTCCTTAGTCAGTTTTCCTAGGTCCTGTTTAGAAATGATAGAATACCCTAGTAAACGGTGTAGGATCCTAAGGGCAGGGTGCCAAATCTCACTGGCTATGGAAGTCCGGGTGTAAAACTCATTTTTACCTGAAATGGAACGCCACCAAGCGTACTCACTATACTCCCTAAAGCTCTCATAAAGAGGTAGTGAATGTCGGCATCAGGGTGAAAGTCGAGGGCTCGGTTGAACTCTGCCAATGACATGGTGTGGGGGTTGTTGAAGAGTTGGAAAGAAATTCGAAAGTCGTTATTTTCTAGACTATCCACTTGAAAAGACGAGAAAAACTCTAATGTGGGTTCTTGGTAGGTCATGAATGAGGAGTTTATAAATGACCCTAGTCGAAGGTTGTCAAAAAGAATCCACAGATCATCATTTATACCGAGTTTTATCATGTCTCCACGATGGTAGTGCCTAGAAGGTCGCAACTTACGTTTTTTCATTTCGGAGTATATGGAGGAGTGGCTTTTGTTTAAGAATTTTAGGGTGGGTAAGGCATTGGGTTGGTCTGACTCTGGGTTTTGGGACGATTGTCCCGATTTTGCAGTTTTTCTCTTCTTACCAATCCTTAGACTCATGACTGCCGCCTCTCTTTTTTTTCTGTTTTCACTCCTTTTCAAAGCCAACTCCGGCTATTTCCACCCTTAACCTCCACAAAACTACAATGTACCTGTTCACAAGCAATAATAATCCAACCAACGCAACGAATATAGCCTAAGATAATAACCAACAACAACAATTTCAACAAAATCCAGCAGTAATTTCAACAATAATCAACCAAATTTCGCTAATAACCTAAGATAATCAAAATCCTTGCTTAAAAATTAATCAAAAAGAGAATAATTAACGAAGGAAATTGAATACCTTTACCCTTATGCGAAAAATTGCTGTTTTGGTGTCGATTTGGTGAGGGTTTTGAGTAGTAAGGAGTTCGATGCGGTTGGTGTTGAGGATGACTAATTGCTTTCTTTGATGATGAACAAACGGAGAAGATGAATGATTGAAGCTTGAGGATGATTGATTTATGAGAATGATTGATTTAAGAGGATGGAAGAAGATGATCTTGAGTATGGTGGTGAGGAGCGGCCGCGAAGGGAGAGAAAGGCAATGAGGGGTTTGAGTTATGTTTGTGAGGGTTTAAGGGAAATTGCGGGAACAAAAGACGAAACCGTATTTTTTTTTTGATACCCAGAAAGGCGCGCCCGCGCCCTACGGAGGCGCGCCCGCGCCTCAGTGAAAACGCGGCCCGCTCCTAAATCGCGATAAAATCGCTCCAACTCCCTGGAAATCAGACCAAGCTATTGTCGCGCCCGCGCTCTTCATAAGCGCGCCCGCGCCACTTTGGTATCGCGGGCCGCTCACAAATCGCGACAAAATCGCTCCTATTCTCTGGAATTGGATGAGTATTAAGACCAAAGAGCTGGCGCGCCCGCCTCTAAAACAGGCGCGGCGCGCCTACTTTATGACGCGAGCCGCTCCTCAATCGCGCCTAAATCGCTCCTACTTTCTGGAATGGGAGCAATTTACATTCATGTAAAAGGCGCGCCCGCGCCTTGCTGCTCTTGCCGATCGCGCTTCAGCCGCGTCCAAATCGCGCTGAGGTTCTGTCTCTTTAGTATTCATTCGAGCACAATTTCTCAAAATTCCTCATTTTTGCTTTACTCTTGTCTCTCTTTCCTCGTGGACACACACAATCACACCTACATCAAAATTGATTGGGAAAAATGTTAGATGGATTAGTTCAAGCGATTTGAAAGAAAATAAAATCAAAGAGGTTAGAAACCGGGTTGCCTCCCGCAAGCGCTTCTTTAACGTCACTAGCTTGACGTACTTCACACGGAATCATGGTGACTTGAAAACATCAATGAGAGATAAATTTTCTGGCTTCTCAATTAGTTGACCCTCATAGTATGGCTTGAGACGGTGCCCATTCACTTTGAATGGAGGGTACTTGTCATTGAATATCTCAACCGAGCCATAAGGAAAGGCTTTGGATACTTGAAATGGACCGCTCCATCTAGACCTCAATTTCCCGGGGAAGAGCTTGAGTCTTGAATTGTAGAGTAGGACCTTTTGTCCTTCCACAAATTCCTTCTTGGAAATTTGAGCGTCGTGCCATGCCTTGGTTCTTGCTTTGTAGAGGCTTGCACTGTCATATGCGTTCATTCTCAACTCTTCCAACTCATGAAGCTCTAGAAGCCTTTGCTCACCCGCATTGTGGAGATCAAAGTTGATTTGCTTGATTGCCCAATGCGTTCGGTGCTCCATCTCTACGGGTAAATGGCAATTCTTCCCATAAACAAGCTTATAGGGGGTAGTCCCTATAGGAGTCTTGAAGGCGGTCCTATATGCCCACAATGAATCAATGAGCTTACTAGACCAATCCTTCCTTGTTCTAGCAACGGTCTTCTCCAAGATGACTTTCAACTCCCTATTTGTGACCTCCGCTTGACCACTTGTTTGGGGGTGGTAAGCAAGGCCTCGCTTGTGCGATACACCATACTTTGAAAGAAGCTTGTTGAATGCATGGTGCTTGAAGTGTGAGCCTCCATCACTTATGATTGCCTTAGGAACACCGAATCTTGGGAAGATGACTTTCTTGAACAAATTGATGACCACCTTTGAGTCGTTGGTGGAGATGCCACGGCTTCCGCCCACTTGGAGACATAATCAACGGCAACTAGAATGTGCCGGTTTCCTTGGGATGAGATGAAAGGGCCATGAAGTCAATTGCCCCAAACATCAAAAATTTCTAGTTCAAGAATCGGATTTTGGGGCATCTCATCACGCCTTGATATGTTCCCCGTCCTTTGGCACCTATCACAAGTCTTAACAAATTGCCAAGCATCTTTGAATAGAGACGGCCAAAAGAGCATGCATTGCAAAACCTTGGAAGCGGTCTTTTGAGCACTCATATGACCACCACAAGGGGATGAGTGGCACATTGAGAGCACATCTTGGAATTCTTCATTAGGAACACATCTTCTCAAAAGTCCATCCACCCCTCTCTTCAACAACATGGGGTCATCCCATATATACTTCTTTGCTTCATACTTGAGCCTTCGATGTTGTTGAGGAGTGAAATCCGGAGGTATGGCACTACAAGCCAAGTAGTTCACAATATCCGCATACCAAGGCTCCGATTTTGCCTCAAGAGCATATAAGACATCATCCATAAGGGCATCTTCAATTGGCAAATCGTCTTCATGTATTCTTGCACCTCCCAACCTAGAGAGGTGGTCCGCCACCACGTTCTCGGCTCCCTTCTTATCTCTCATTTCGTAATCAAAATCTTGAAGGACCAACACCCATCTCAACAACCTCGGTTTGGCCTCCTTCTTACTTATCAAATATTTGAGAGCCGAGTGATCGGTATACACTATTGTCCTAGAACCAATGAGGTAGGTTCTAAACTTCTCAAATGAGTGGATAACCGCCAAAAACTCTTTTTCGGTAGTTTGTATAATTCCGTTGAGCATCATTGAGAGTCTTGGACAAATAGTATATAACGTGAAGTTTCCCATCCTTTCTTTGTCCTAGAACTGATCCAATGGCCTCGTCGCTTGCATCGCACATTAGCTCGAATGGTAGAGACCAATCCGGTCCTTGGACTACGGGGGCGGTGCAAAGAGCCTTTTTCAACCTGCAAAATGACTCATGACAAGCTTCATCAAATACAAATTCTTTATCCTGTTGCAAGAGAGATGTGAGAGGCTTAGCAATCAAAGAGAAATCTTTGATGAAGCGGCGGTAAAAGCCGGCATGACCAAGGAAGGACCTCACTTCTCTCACATTTGTGGGAGGAGGAAGCTTCTCAATCACATCAACCTTCGCACCATCAACTTCGATGCCCGCTTGGGAGATTTTATGGCCAAGAACAATGCCATTTTCCACCATGAAGTGGCATTTCTCCCAATTGAGCACCAAGTTGGCACTCTCACACCTTTCTAAACAACGAGATAAATTCATTAGGCATTTCTCATACGTGCTCCACCAACGGAAAAGTCGTCCATAAAAACTTCCATTTCTTCCTCGATCATTTCACTAAAAATTGACATCATGCATCTTTGGAAGGTAGCCGGGGCATTACAAAGACCAAAAGGCATCCTACGGTAAGCAAAAGTTCCGTAGGGACAAGTGAAAGTGGGTCTTTTCTTGATCTTTTGGGTCAATTGGGATTTGGAAGAATCCGAATAACCATCAAGAAAGCAATAAAAGGCATGCTTTGTAAGCCTCTCAAGCATTTGATCGATGAACGGTAATGGAAAATGGTCTTTGGAAGTGTTGGCATTTTAATTGGCGGTAATCAATACACATACGCCAACCGTAACAAGCCGAGTTGGGACCAATTGTTGCTTATCATTGACCATTACCGTCATACCTCCCTTTTTCGGCACTACTTGAACCGGGGACACCCAATCACTATGAGCGATTGGATAGATAATCCCCGCTTCAAGTAGCTTGGAAACTTCCTTTCTCACAACCTCTTGCATGGAAGGATTAAGTTTCCTTTGCCGTTGCCTACACGGCTTAGCACCCTCCTCTAAATCGATTTTATGCATGCATAGGGAGGGGCTTATACCCTTGAGATCATCAAGAGTATAACCAAAGCCTTCCTATGCTTTTTCAAAACATTAAGCAATGAGGAGGTTTGTTCTTCCGTGAGGTTAGCATTGACAATGACCGGAAAAGTATCATTAGCATCCAAAAAGACATACCTCAAGCCCGAAGGTAGAGGTTTCAATTCTACCTTCGGAGCTACCTTACCATTGGAGATTTCCTCCTCTTCTACTTGGAAGACTTCATATGGTTGGAGCATCTCTTGGTCGGGGGTTGTCTCCTCTTTCTCATCAAGCATTTCCTCATATAATTGCATCTCCTTTTGATCACCTACCTCATTCTCATTCAACAAAACATTCTCAAGTAGATCATTAGAAGCATGCATATGAGGGTACCTAAACTCATTCATCAAGTTTTCAATTGTATCTATTCTAAAGCATTCATTGCTAGAGGAAGGTTGTCTCATCACCTTATTCAAATCAAATTCGATAGAATCATTGTCAACCTTCAAGGTCATCTTGCCTTCTTTGACATCAATAATTGCTTTAGAAGTAGCTAGGAATGGCCTACCCAAGATTATAGGAATTCTTTCATCTTCATCCATCTCAAGAATATAAAAGTCCACCGGAAAAGTGAACTTACCAACTCTAAGGGTATGTCCTCTACTTTCCCTATAGGCAATTTTGTGGACCTATCCGCTAGTTGGAGGGTGATGTTTGTAGGTGAAAGGTTTCCCACATTAAGCTTTTGGTAGACCGAGAAAGGCATTAAACTCACACTAGCACCTAGGTCACACAAAGCTTTCCCCAAATGAACCTCATTGATAGAACAAGGGATGGAAAAACTACCGGGATCTTGCAATTTAGTTGGTAGCTTACTAGAGAGAATAGAACTACAATTTGCGGTTAAGCTAACGGTTTCAACTTCTCTCCTTCCATTCAAGAGGTCTTTTAGGAATTTAGAGTAGTGTGGCATCTCTTTCATAGCATCCACAAAGGGTATAGAAACATGCAAGCTCTTTACTACATCTAAAAATTTTCCGAATTGGACATCAAGCCTAGACCTAGCAAATCTTTGGGGAAAAGGTAACCTCTCATTCCTAGGTTGGAGATTAAGGGATAAAGATGTTTGATCTTTGGTGCTCTCCTTTTCGGGTTCCTTCTCTTTCTCTTTCTCACCCCTCTCATTCTTTCCGACACTTCCCTCTAGAATCTCATTCTCTCTTGATGACTCATCTTCAACCTCAAGTCCTATCCTCACATCGGGATCTTCTCACATTTAGATCACTCTCAAGGATCTTCCCACTTCTAGTAGTAATGGCATACATAGACTTGGGGTTGACACCTTGGCTAGGTAAAGAAGAAGATGAAGAAGGGGAGGATGAAGAACTTGGTTGGGCAATTTGAGAGATTTGGGTCTCAAGCATTTTCATGTGTGCCTTGATTTGTTTTCTTTTCTTCCTCTTGACTCTTATTATGGTTTTCTTGATTTTTAATGAAATTTTGAAGCATAGTCATCATAGGATCCGGAGGGGCTTCTATTTGGAGGGGTTGAGTAGGGGGAATTTGAGAATGGGGCCTTACTTGGTCAAAACCGGGGGGTCTACTATTTTGTGAGAAAGTAGAAGCATTTTGAGGTCTATTACCCCGGAACCCTGATTGGAATTAAAACGTTGTTGGTTGTTGGAATAGTGTTGTTGGTTTTGATTCCAATTGGGTCTTTGGTTTGGGTAGCTTCTTCCATTGTAATTGGAAGAGTTTCCCCTACCTTGGCCTTGGTTATCATAACCACCACCACTTTGATTCCATTGACTTTGATTCCAACCTTGGTTTTGATTCCAACCACGGTTTAGGTTTTTGATTCCAATTGGGCCGCATTCCATTATTTCCCTCACGGGGCACAAAATTCATGGCATTAACGTCTTCAACATTATCATCATTTTCATGGGGAGGGGGACCTTCACTTATGGACATACATTGCTGAGAATTATGATCATAGCTCCACATATATCACAAAACATACAACCGGGAGGCATGGCATTGTAATTAGAGGGAGAAGAAGTAGAAGGACTCATACCATGGCCTCCCTTGGGAGAAGGGGAGGAAGTATTTTGAGAACTTGATTTCATGAACTCCTCCATTTGTTTCGCCATCTTTGCCATTTGGTTGGAAAGATTTGTGATGGCATTGGTTTGTTCGACGGATTGTATCGTTCCTTTGCTAGAAGTGGCTTCCCTCTCACCTTCGTACCAATCCTCATAATTGCGCACAACATCTTCTTTGATACTCTCCACTTCATCTTCCCTTTTGTTCATGATTGGGCCTCCGGCTCCGGCATCAAGGCTAGTCTTGCTTTGAGGGGAGAGTCCTCCGTAGAATGTTTTGGAGAACTTGCCAATTAGGAATCCCATGGTGTGGGCACTGCCTTTGTAACTCTTTGAATCTCTCCATGCCTCACAAAGAGACTCTCCACCTCTTTGGCGGAAACTTTGAATCTTTGAGCGAGCCTCGGCGGTTTTCTTGTGATTGTAAAACCTTCCTAGGAACGCCGTAGTTACCTCATTCCAAGTCGTGAGGGAGCCGGGGGGACATCCTTGTTCAACCAATGTTCCGCCGCTCCATGAGTGAGAACGGGAACATCTTCAATCTTATGTACTCTTGGGAGACTCCGTTGATCTTGATAGTGTCACAATACTTGAGAAACTCTTTGAGATGCTCATGGGGATTCTCAAATTTCCCACCGGTAAATTGCCTCTTCTCTATCATTGAAATGAAATTAGGCTTTATCTCGAAATTGTTTGCTTGAGTGGTGGGGGCTAGGATCCCACTTTGAGAGGCATAAGGTTCGGGTGCTCCAAGTTGCTTTAGTGACCTTTGATCACCCATGTTTCCTGATCCAGCCATGCTTTGTTGATTATGGTATTGGGCAAATGGGTTGGGAATTGAGCCTGTGGATGGTTCGCTCTCCTCACTTGAAGTGGGTGAAGATGGGGCAGGGGAACTTCTCACTTCCTCTTGAAGTGGGTCTTCACCTCTCTCCCTTGCTTGTCTCCTCAATTGGGCTAGAGTACGCTCTAGCTCGAGGTCTATGGACACCAAAGGCCTAGAGCAATTAAGCCTCCTGTGCATATACAAAGCTAAGCAGAAAAGTGAGCACTGACAAGATACGGAAAAACAAAAGAATAGAAAAGAACTAGTCTCAACAAGAAAATAAACACACAATGGAAACCGTCTCCCCGGCAACGGCGCCAATTTGACAGGCGGTATTTTAGGTCGTTACTAAGACACCTCTATCAAATGATATTTTGTAGTCCTAAACATGCAACTAAAAGAGTATAGAGGCAAGTCAAGGGTCGAACACAGGGAAACGATTAAGCACCGCTATTTATCTCCTAATGTTAATCTAATTCGATCAAGAAGTATGGTGGGTAAAGTAATGACTAGAGGGATAGAATAACAATTAAAACAAGCACTAGGGGGAAGGATCAAAACATGCTATGAATTCAACGAAGGTAGGCATCGGAAAATAGGTTTACATGTAACCCAAGCAACTCATACAAGGCAATATCAAGAATACTCTCTAATCACCTATCGGGATTAAGAGCTTTCCTAGCTAGCATACACTCACACTATCGTCGTAAGGCATACAAGCTAAGGTCATGCAATAATCAATCACCTAATGACTATTCCTAAGTCGCACTATCGTCACGATTTAGTTTACGTCATTCAACCACAACATGCGTATGGCCATAAACATGGAGTGGCTAAAAGTATAAGCACAAGGAAGATTTAATCACAAATATTCCAAATTAACCTAGCCTAGCATACATCAAACTCAAAGCATATCTTCACCAAACCCTAGCAACAAAAACTACTCACTAGTCATAACTACAACTACAATCATACTAAGCAACATTATAACCAATGAAATAGTAAGAAAGACAAAGTTTTTATCAACTAAACTAACAAAGGTAGAAACTTTAATCATAAAAACAAGAGAAAAGAGAGAAATATATCAAAACCTTCATTGAAATCCAAATAAAGAGCCATACATCATTCAATCTCCAAGCTTGACCATACATCAATGTTGCAAAACTACTTCTTCAAAAACTAAGAGTAAAACTAATGTTGATAGACAATGAAAATTACACTAAAAACTATCAAGATTGTTCAATACAAAAGTGGCTAAAACAAAACCCTAGAAAAATTCCTTCCAAAAACTCTCCTCTAAGGTTCTATGCTGAAATAAATAATATCCCTATGATAGAATGTTGTCCCCCCCCGTTAGCCGTTTTGCCTCCCTCTTTTAACTTGGGCTGAAATCGGGATTTGAATCAGCAGCAGACAGGCGCGCCCGCGCCCAACAATGGCGCAACAATGGCGCGACCGCGCGTTAAATGATGCGCGGCCGCTCCTCGAAATGCGCGCCCGCTCCAAAGTGGGTATTTAATGGTTGGTCCAGCTCATCAACGCGCCCGCGCTCAAGGGATGCGCGCCCGCGCTTACAGGTGGCGCGCCCGCTCCTCTGGTGGCGCGCCCGCGCCATTTGTCTGGTCTGGATTTCTTCCCGTTTAGCCCTTGTTCCTTCCATCTCCGAATCAACGGCATACACCTGCAATCATGGAACAGGAAGGCAAGGCGTAATACAACGAAAGAGGAGGGGAGTATAAACTACCTAAACCACATGAATACACATTACGCGCCACAAAGGTAGAATACTCGAAATGGGCGGATCATAGCAAAAACATATTGAAATGGACCGAATTATTACTAAAACTACTAGAAAAGACTATCCTAAGAGCGACATAAATGTCACTCATCACCTAGAAATTCCTTTCTTTAAAAATACTTGTTTTGCCCTGTTTAATACTTTAAATAGGAATATTTAAGATATTACCACC